TAATGACTTCATGAAAATATCAGCTATCATGTCATGTGTGGGTATGTAATGGATGACAATGATTCCATCGTTAACAAGGTCGCAGATGAAATGATAGTGGACGTGTATGTGTTTTGTGTGGTCGTGAAAATGGGGGTTCTTTGTCAATGCTCAGCTCCCATTGTTGTCCCCATACAGGACAGTAGGTGTGATGAGTGATGGGTCGAGTCCAAAATCATGCAAGAGTTGACTAAGGTGAATTTGTTCTCGAGTGGCATTGGAGAGGGCAATGTACTCGGCTTCCGTGGAGGATGTTGCAACAATGGGTTGTTTCTGAGAGCGCCAGCTAATGGGAGATCCAAAGAGGTAGTAGACATAGCCACCAATGGAACGACTGTCATCTTTGTCCGAAGCAAAGTCCAAGTCAGAGTATCCGATGAGTCCTTCATCTGATAAGCCGAAGTTAAGGGATAGATGCACAGTTCTGCGAATGTAGTGAATCAAATGGTGAAGCTGTTGGTAATGCTCAACACCAGGGTTGCTCAGGAACTTGGATAATGTGGAGACTGCATATGCAATGTCAGGTCGACTGACGCGCATCGCAAAGTTGAGTTCGCCAATAACACGAGCATATGGAATGTGAGCAAATTGCTGTGCTTCAGTTTTCGTCAGAGGTGCAGTGGCTTTTGACAGTGAGACTCCTGGTACCATGGGAGTACCGACTGGGCGGCAGTCTGACATCTTGGCTTCAGTAAGAATTTGCTCGATGAATGAAGTTTGGTCAATGGTGAGGAGCTGCTTCATACGATCTCATTTGATATGCATCCCCAGGAAGTGGCGTGCCTCGCCAAGATCCTTCATTTCAAAGTGCTTGCTCATTTCACCCTTGAAACCATCAAGGAATTTTCGGCAGTTGGATGCAAGAAGCATATCATCCACATAGATGAGAAGCCATATGACTTTGTCATCCTTGCGCAACACGTACAAACTATAATCGGCTTCACTGTGAACAAAGTTGAAACCTTCTTTTCGCAAAAATTCATCGAGAGTCTTGTTCCACTGGCGTCCAGATTGCTTTAACCCATAAATTGCCTTGAGGAGTTTCCATACCCAGTCTGGATATTCTGCATCTTCAAACCCAGGTGGTTGCTTCATGTAGATATCTTCGTCAAGATCACCATTGAGAAAAGCCATTTTCATATCCATCTGATCGAGCTCAAGGTCGTGTTTTGCTACCATGGAGAGCAAAGCACGTGCTGTGTCGTACTTGGCAACTGGCGCGAAAGTTTCAGTATAGTCTAAGCCCTCAATCTGCGAGAATCCTTGTGCAACGAGTTGAGCTTTGTGATGAGTTATCTGACCACCTTCATCATACTTGTAGGCATAAACCCAGCGGGAACCAACTGCTTTTCAGCCAGGTGGAAGTGGTGTGAGGACTCTGGTTCCTTTTTCACGAAGTGATGCCAATTCTTCTATCATTGCACTCTCCCAGTTTGCAGATTCTGTGGATGTGCGAGCTTGAGTGAGATTCTTCGGAGGCTGCTTCCGCCCATCTACAGTTGCACGCATTACAGAATGCTCAATGTCAATATCAGATGACATATTGACTGCAAGATTTTTGTCTGCGTGACTGGTATCCATTGGCACATATGTCCAGCGCTGTTCTGTCGGAACGACTTTTGTTGGAATTGCAACGGAACGTGGCAATGCAGGCTTGGCTGCAACACGCTGACGAGTTGAACGTCGTGGGACAGAAGGTGGTAGGGTTTCTGAATCTGTTGGAAAATTGACTGTGGGCACAGGAATAGCATTACTTGGTTCAAGTTGTGTGGGGGGCAGTGACACGTCACAAGTGGTAGATGCAAGGATTGGAGTTGCTCCCACTGAAACGGTGGACATGGGTGTTGCTCTCTTGAGAATTATTTCGGAGGATTCATCCAAGTCATAAGTTCATGGCATAGGTCCCAGGTCTTCTGATGTTTGCAATACCTTCGATGCTTGGATATGTTGGTTGTATAATTCGACGAGTGGTGAAATTATGGAGTTGGGGGTTCCATAGAAGACATTCTCATCAAAAAGAACATTGCAAGACCACACAACTTGTCGAGCTGTTGAGTCCCATAGCAAATAACCAACGTCCTTAGCATGTCCTAACAGGAAACACCATCGTGACACATAATCATATTTGTGATGTGTGTCATTAGGAATATGTGCATATGCGAGGCAGCCAAAAGGCTGCAAGTGCGAAACATCGGGTGGATAACCATGAAAGAGTTCAAATGGTGTTTTGTCCTCTGTAGCCGATGATGGGAGCAGATTCTTGATGTATGCAGAGTTCAAGATAGCATACCCCCAAAACGAACGAGCATAGCCACTCTGATGGTGTGCACTTAATGCACGAGTCACAATTGTCTGGTGTCCACGTTCAGCAACACCATTTTGTTCTGCCGTATATGGCATGGTAAGTTCATGCTTGATACCTTTGCTCTGTAGGAAACCAGTGACAATACCAGAGGTATATTCTCCACCATTATCACTGCAAAAATGTTTTACCCGCTGCCCTGACTGATTTTCAATCCAAGTCACATATTGCTGCAGGCGAGAGTAAACATCACTCTTGTTTTTGATGAGGTAAATCGTTGTATAGCGAGAGAAGTCATTGGTGAATGCGACAAAATAGGTCTCTCTGGATGTGGTAGCAGTGTCGATAGGTCCCCAAACGTCAGAATGAATCAACTCGGCAATGTGAGTGGCATGATGACGAGCGCAGGACGGAAATGGAAAATGTTTCTGCTTTCCCATTACACACGACACACAATCAATATAATCAGCATGTTCAACAGGTCTGTTATCATCAAGGACAAGTCCTTTGACAACTTTCTCAGCTTTGCACAAGGTAGAATTAGCTGCATGGCCCATCCGTGCATGCCACACAGTCATTGGCAATGCTGTGCTCGAGACGGACTTTACTGCAAAGGCAGTGTGGTTTTCATTGTATTTGGCCTGGAGATAATAAAGACCTGACGTGCAGTCAACTTGTGCAACCAGAGTGCCATCTGCACGTTCCATTGAACCTCCCTTGGCGTTTGTTGCAAAGAAAATGCCTTCTGATGCGAGAGCCAAGACTGATATCAATGTGCATTGGAGATCGGGAACATGCAGGAAAGGAAGCTCGACAGGTTCCCAGATCATGCCATTGTTCATGGCCAGTTTTATAATCCCCCATCCAGGAGCAAAAACGACATCATCATTTGCAAGTTTTACCATTATGGGTGGATTATAGGCAGAATAACGAGTAAAGTGAGAATAGTCTGATTCCATATGTGCGGTGGCAGCAGAATCTACATGGAACAAGAAGGAACTAATGCCTGTATTAGAAAAGCTTGCAGAGTGCGCGGAGAGGTGAAGGAAATGTGGAATGATATCAGGTTGTCCTAGTACGAGAGTCGATGGATTAGTGCTCTGCAAAGATGATGGAGGAATATTTGATGACGTGTTTGGCAAGTCTGATTTTGCTAGGTGAGTGCGACAGTTATGCCAGATGTGGCCTGTGCATTTGCAAGATCCGCATGTGGAGCGCCACGATAACTCCCACTTATCTCTCTTGGATGTGTCGAGTTCCTTTGGCTTTGGGCGTTCAGCAGACTTGCTTGATTTGACAGTCCTGGCTGCCATGGCAGTGTGATGTGCATGTGGATTGTCTGATCCAAAACTCGCGTAGTATTGTTCAGAGTTTCGGATCTGATTAATGACACCTTCAAGCATCAATTTTCCTGCATTTGCATCAGCACTATGGAGGATAAGCTGCAAAAGCGGGGCATAGAAGTCTGGTAATGCACGGAGTAATGCCTGTACTAGAATGTACTCATTGCACTTCCACTCTACCTGAATCGATAGCTTTGAACTGAGCTTTAATATCTGTAATCTCCTTGATTGATTGCGCAAGTGAATCACTGTCCAATGCTTTCGGAAGATCAAAAATGCGACCCATGAGGCAGGTAAAACGAATACCGATAGTGGCCTGGTACTTGTTTTCGAGTGCCTTCCAAACAAGGGCAGGGTTCAAAATGCCCGTAAAGTGGATTAGATCACTGGAGTGCACAGCCATGCCAAGGAGACCCTTTGTAATGCTCTGTCGTTCACGGAAGGATACAACGTCTGCACTTGCATCATGAGTGGCGACTCATTGCGCAAATGTCGCATCAGACTCAGTAGCAAGTTTGGTTGAGGGCTGCGGCTCTTTCTCATCACCAATGAGAAGGCGCCAGAGATTGAATAAAGATAGCCAGAGGTCCATAGAGGTAACCCACGATGAATAATTGGATCCATTTGCATCTAGCGGGGAATGAGGAAATGAAGAAGGGATCCGAATATTGGACATCTTGAGTGGTAACGAAGAGTGTGTCGGCGAATGGCGATGGTATGATAGAACATGTGGGTAATGAACAAGATAATAGAACAGGCATCAGCAGGTGGTGACGGCGGCAAGGGAATAGAAAGGATCCAAGGATCAAGCAGCGAGGAAGGTTGGGCCAAATGGGCCAGCTCGGACGATTACGGAAAAATGAATGTTATAGTGTAACAAATGTGGGGGCCTAGTCTGAGCCAGGGCTCATAACCTCTTAGAGTGAAGAGGCTTAGACCTAGGAACGAAGGAGGAACTCAGTCTTCAATTGAAGGACTAACAAGCTACGACATAGTGCATACCTAGGAACAAAGGAGGAACTATGTAGTTATTAGAGACTGTATTGTAGACTCGTAAATAAAACAACTCACCTCAGTCTTCGATTGAAGGACTGAGGGGAGACGCTTCTAAGGGAAGAGGAATAAAAAGACGTCGTTGAGATGGAGAACAAAAAAGCAACATATAGAGTGAGTGATATAGTATGTAAAATGAAACACATACGGAGAATGTGTTGTGATACGGCCCATAGTCTGCTGGCCCATCTTATACGGGATATTATGTAGGTCGGGTGACCCATATAATATGGAATTTGTCACTGAAGGGGCTCACCTTGGACATGTTGAACGTGCTTCATGAGGAAGCAGAAGATTCTAGGAACACATGTAAGTAGCTTTGTCTTAGAGCATGTGTCTGATTAACAACCATGACTTCTCCAGTAATCAGTTCCAGGGCAGCATATCCTAGATATGTCCCTTTCTGGCATAGTACTGGGTCAGATGAGAACGAATGTTTCTTGATTGTGGTTACTATTGACCTTTTGGTAGGAAACATTCCAGATCCTGCACAGGCTTTGGTTCTGCATTTAAGACATGGAGATATCAGCAGTATGTATATTGCTTGTTGAGTCCATGCAAGCACATTTGAATTGACACTGTTTGTCCTTGTAGAAGGGGATACTATGCAAAGTCCTTGTATGTTGCACTTCTCTCTCTGCCCTTATGTTGCCACTCATCAGTAATAACTCTAGCTAAGGCAAAAGCTGCTGCATTGGCAGGTGGCCCTCCAGGGGGAGGGTCTCCCCCAGCTGCAACCTTATACTATGAGTGATATCCTGTGAAGGAATGTTCATTGAAATTTACACTACTACAGCAGGAATGTAAAGACTATCTGATTTACCCAACCCATTGGGCCATTATGTGGCTATCATTGTGCAATATCACTTGCAGGAATGCACTATCATCATGCCCAACATCTGAGATGGCCATGGAGTTCTCATCGGACCTCATGAATACCGCTCAAAGATCAAAACTGGTGACGTTGTCTTATTAGAGTGCCAGCTTAAATTGTAAGTCTAACCTTGAGCTTGTCATTGTCAAACATCTGATAGAGCCATAGATGGACTATCTCCCAAAGCAAATGGGAAAATAGTGCTCATGAGGACAAGAATGGATCTAGGTGTTACCAGGTTATGCTCAAGTCCATGAAGTTGATGCCCAATGCTGGTGTCAGTTCTCAGATGTTTGCAAGCTACTTGACTGACGCAAAAGGGAAATGCAAGGCAGTTGACATCGCTGACGAGGGTTGTGTGAAGAAAATGTTTGCAGCAGACAACACTGACCATGAGGGTGAATCTTGTAAGGCCGACAATGGTGTGGAGAATGATGATGACCTTTATGGTGAACAAGCAATGGAGCTCACTGAAGAATAGAGACTAAAAGTGTGGTTGGCAAAGTCAAATGGTAATCACTCGAATGTTTGTATAGATGTGTCTAGATTGTAAGGATTGTACTCGAAATATATGTTTGTGTCTCGACTTGTTGAAAGTGAGATGTCACAAATGGAGGAGAAATACAACTTGTTACATCAGAAAAAGCCACATAAAGATGGCCCTAAACCCATTGAGTTCCTTGTGGAATAGAGTTGCATATCCAAGGGCTCGCCTTCATCACGATCAAACATGAACTGTAAGACCCTGTCCATCTGCATAAACATATGCTGACCTGGCTGACAGTCGCTTGTAATTTGAACGAAGATATCATCACAGAAGTCCTTGATAAAATGGCGATATCTGATGTCACATCCACAAGTCGCACAACTCAGAGTTTGCGCAAAGTGGGGAAAAGTGTCATTCTGAGATGCTTCAGGAGGCTGTTGGAACCATTTGTGGGTCAAGATTTCCACAATTTCAAGAGAGTACTACATCAATCCAAAGGCCTGATAACGGGATCAAGTGCACGATGCATGCTCATAGGAGAATTCGAGCAGGTTATGCGAGACTTAAACATGGTAGTGCCAGTTGAAGGCTTCCAAAATCTGGACGATTTCATAGTCAACAACATGGGTTACAGCACAATATCTTATATCAGTCACCCTGCAATAGCTACCAGCATAGGCCATTTCTGCAAATATAGCTGGGACACCCACATCATCACACTCGCCTCTCCTGTCAACAAAGACCATGTTCTGCATCTAATTTTCAATGCTCTCACTACTGCTGGCATGATATACATGACAACGGGGGTGTGACATGCTTTTATCCACAATTGCTGGAACAGAGAGTGGCAATTTGCACCCACACAAGCAATTTGGTTGGATGGGACCACAAACTTGGTTGTGCCGGTGATCTGAATGAAAATCTGAGAGTGGAGACTGGGATAGACTTCATCGGAGAGGAGTGCTGGAACTGATGCCCCATGCTATGGCATCATGTCCAGGAGAGACAAATGTGCAAATCTATCAACTGGGACACAGACGACTCAGTGATAAACACATTCCACAACATTGACATTAAATGGCATCTGAACTGGTACTGCACAAATAATATCTGTCACTACAGCTTCACTATCATGTTGAGGAACATGGAAGGGGTGGGTGCATCCCACCATATGTGCAACTATAAATTCAATCAATGTGTGTCACTATCACTGCCAAATAGGGTTAGACAGTGAAATTCATTCCAAGAGAAATATGCTGTCGACAACCGGTAGGAGAGGGATGGCAGTTCATATCCATAGTCACTGATGTGACCATGCAGAGATTCTTAAAGTGGTTCAAGGGTGTTTTCTACAGTATGGCATGCCACAGGCCATTTTCAGTCCCAATTCCAATGATTGACGGCATGAGGAGGGCACTGAGGCTCAACAACCTATATGTTAACTACTGGGTATGACAGCGAGAACTCAACACTGTCACATGCACACAACAACACCTACAACACACATTCTATGACGTTCCAAACACCATGATGGCTCTGGATGGAATCTACACAGTGTTTTTGAAAAGATAGAGGATAATACTATGCCGAACCATCTGTTGCATCAGATGGCATGGATGACAGGCAGGTCTGCTGTAGTGAAAGGAAGTATTCTAATGGTAAAGCAGAGCTCATGAGTGAATGGCCAAATTATGGACATGACTAAGGACGACATGCTGGTGTCCAATATTATAATTAACAGGTAAGTGGCAAGCTACATGAGTGTCTGTATATAACTGATGAAGAACAGAATGCATTGCATTACGGTTGCTTGTAATCATTTTTGGTGTATGTCTGTAGCTAATCAAGTTTTCTGGGACTTAAGTACATGCGTGAACAGCCCAAAAACTTAGTCAGAAGCTGCGACCTCCAGGTAAGACAGCACCATGAATGCCGAGTGATGCTGAATGTGCACAAAGTAGTATATCAGTAGTAAGCGACATAATGTATTGCTCATTGTATAAGTAGTTAGACTGATGCTTGCCAAGGGGTGGGCGGCTGTCAGTGCCTCAGCACTCATTGAACTCCTTCACCTTAATCAAAATCAAGAAGCAACCAGGTATTATAGGCTAGGACTTCAGCTAGGTCAAGACCCTGAGTGCAAACAGTGTGCACTGCATGATTGTATGCGATGGTCCATACTGTGCCTGAAATTGTGAACAAATTGTATTGTGTGTGATACATGTGCTTACTGGTAAAAAGAGGTTGATGGGAAAACAAGTGCTGAGTGACAAATAACATGAAGAGTGCAGGCTCATGAAAAGCTGGACAAGATGGTGAGGCCTGGATGTCACTGCCTGACAAAACATGAAAATTGAGAGAGTCCCTGCCAGTGCATGATACTTATAAAATTGAGGGGTTAGGACAGATTGGCACAAGAAAGATGACTGACTCAGTATGAAGGCAGTGTCGCCATGAAAGACATCCAAGAGCTACAACAACACTACAGACATGGTGGTTGTGTAGATGAAGGACAGCAGGGAGGCAAGACAGAGTCGTTAAACCATAGACCAAAACATAGCATTGGATCTTGCAATAGCACATCTGTGAGACTTATTTTCCTGAGTAGGGGGAAAATGATCTGGGACCCCAATCCCATGTTTCAAAGACCACAGGAGCAATGTGTGTGATTTGATATAAGTTCTATCGCGATGTGCTATGTATGGGAAACCAAGAAATCAGGATTGAGCAATACTCTAATAGGCCTACATTATCTAAATACATGAGCAAGCACATCCATTGTACACAAGGGCTATTCATCATTAAATGCATCTGCCAGTGCATACCCTTCCACAGTATCGTCAAGAAAAAACATAAAGATGCCCTCTCGAATGAGGAAGGCAACAAAGTCTATGTAAGTAAGAGTACTCTCAGATTCAATCAGTGCAACACATGTGAATACGTACCTTTGAACCTCTGACGATTGGGTACATTGCGAAGAATATCAGACAAGTCTACAATGGGATATTCTGTAGTGCTTATCCAAACACAGGTGCAGTTGTGGTATGTGGAAAAGCAGGAAGATGCTATCTTACTTCATTCTGTATTCTCTGTCATCAGCGAGAAGAGAGGTTCGTCGTAGGAAAACTCACATAGAACTAGATAGAGCCCAGGAAGTTCACTGTTAATGTGCAACATATGGGTTACAGTGTCAGTGCAGAGGCAATAATGATGAATGAGAAAGACTGCTGAGGTTGGGCCCTGTGGGTCAAGAGTGAGACATGAACAAATGGATATCAATATATTGGGCCAATTTATGCGATCTCATTGGATAGATCTGTGTGCCCTCTGTCCCTTATACCATGCAAATAGGAAGTGGACAGTATGGCTCCCATCACAGCCTATGCCAGCCAACTTACTCAGTGTCCACATACAAGAAGGCCTGATCAAACACAGTAGAGCCATAAGTGTGTCATACACGCAGTTAATGAATGGATACTCACAGAAGGACACCACATAGGCGTATAGCGCATCATATAGGGGCGTTTTCTACAGGACAAAGGCCACCCAACCTTATCTTGTGGCCATGCCTGCACACATGTATGGCATAGAATGTGAAGACCTCTCACACCTTGAAATTATACACTGGGTAAACTGCCTGGGGACTAACAAGTTCATCACCTTCACTAGCCGTGGTAGAAAGACTTACAATCTAGTCTATCATGGGGACAAGATGGAGAACAAGTATGGCTACACTTACTTTCACGAGAATGAAACAGTGTTTTCCCCTCCAAACTCACTGATTCGAGGTCTTGCGGGTTTGAATTGGGTTGATGGTGACATGAATGGAAATGTGTTGGTGATCAAGCATAATTGTGGAAACAAATGTGCCGTTCACAATTGCAACAAAGATGACATTAGATACATCAACCAGATTATAATCAGGTGGGTCTGCTTGGACCAAACACAGTGGAAAAAGGAATTGATATTTTGGCCGGATTAGCACAGTATTGTTGAGCGATTTCTGGACTTGATGCCATGAGAGAATACATACATGCATGCATGTAATAAGTGACAGAAAGGAAGAGGTGCAAGGCCGCAAACGAATCAATTTAGGAGAGAAACTATTGGAGTGGATGATATAAGCGAGTCGGGGACTGGCGCTGGCGCCGCTACGATATAAATATCTCGACTCAGTAAAGGTACGTGATTGCAACCTTCTTCGGAAATTTCCGACAACCCTGGGCATCACGTGCCAGGCCCAGTGTCATAAGCTTCGTAATCGTTTTGACAAGCGAAAATTATACTACTAGTAGTATAACGTCTTGCGCGGCGTATCTCGCGTATGTCGAAAATTTCCCTCAGGTCGCTGGTTTTGGGTTGGTTTCATGTGATGCAAAAGGTCACGCGCACGGGTCATTGTCAATGCATCATGATGATACCCAGAGTGCTGCCTAGACCAGTGGTAATGCATGCACAATCTCGCATCCAAGCTCAATTTTATGTCGCACTGCTTAAGTTGAGATTAATTGTGAGCAAATTGTGAGTGTTCTATTCAGAAATTTTCGCTTTCCCTCTGTAATAATTCAGGTAAACAAGTCAAATTAAAGGTTTCTAGAATTCTGCCGCCACATAACATGTTACCGTGACGGTTGACCGTGTTCGACTGGCCCTTGCCGGTGCTTCGCTCCCATGATCCCTGACAGCACGTGCGTCTTGAAGTACGGCAAAATACGAGCTCGCACCCTGCCTGTGTTGTGTCGAGTGCTCCATTGCTATGGAGGGACCTTCCTCAATTTGGTCTGCTTCAGGGATAAGGGATATAACCCAAAAGCCCGCCGAGATAACGTGGTTGCGAATTACTAACCGGGTGACAATATCCACTGCTTTGCCTCGAAACTTTCTTGCAGCGGTGATGCGATTAACAACTTGTCAATCCACTTTCCCGACGAGGTGTCCACAGCTTTTCTTTCTGAGTGTCCATAGCCTTTCTTGTTGGGTGTCCGTAAGGAACAAGTCTTATCAGGGCTCTAATTTTATAGTGACGTTAACGTCAAGCGACGCTAGTGCCCCCACTGCGGCAGATCCCCCACCCTCAAAAGGCGTGTCCCGAAATGATACTACCTTTTTCCCTGTCTTTTGGTGCCCCGAGATCCTCATTCTCTGGCGCGTTGATCGCGATGCTGCCATTTCCTACCGGAATAACATATGGAGCTTATTTCTTCTCAACAATTCTCTGCGCTATGCTCTGGGGAGTGTCTTGCGTGCAAACGTGAGCAGTCACACATATGTTGAATCGCATCCTCACGGCACCTTCTCTAGCTTTTCGTATTTCACCCGGTTGGTAAATTGTACGAGTGGTGTAAGTGATTGCTTGACCCAATTTGCAGTTATGTCAGAGACGATCGATGGCTGAAAACTGTGGTGAGTCTCTCCTTGTCGTCCCTGTCCCATGAACATTCCTGATTTTACCGAAGGTTGCTGTTATATTGTTTGCCACCCGCAAGTCTTTCACTGCCTGCTGCTAATATAGTTGTGGTTTTAGTACGATGAGCGCCGTACAGACAGCGCTGATAGTGCATGGAGGTAAGCACGACGTTAGTCTCTGATTCCGATCATCTCCAAACATGAGTACAGCGTACGCTTACCTAGTCATTTATTCTGGAGATTTTTTATTTTTTGAAATGGTCCTTCCGTAAGTACCCTGCATGTCATGTCACTTTTTCGTATAACGTTAACATTATTATAGGGTCTCCTCAGTGAGTCGTTTAGCATCACGATTATGTCTTGCACTAATGTAGTACAGACCGGGTTTCTCCTCTCGGTGAGATCCTAATCAGAACCTTACGTCGTGTGTACTCACTGCTGAGATGACTAGGCCATTGTTTCTGTTTGTGTACAAGGAATATTTGTCGTCAAAGCACATAGACGTAGGTCTACGCGGTTTGTAGACTGATATACTTACCTAATGTCTTGGTGGTGAAGTCAGTGAGACGAGATCAAAGGTACTCCCCTCGCTCTGGGTCAGGATCAGTTCAGCTGTATACCAAAGTCTATACTTAAGATGGTTCTCTAAACAGATCCCTTTGGCTCTTTTTGAACTCGGGGCTGCAATTTGTGCGTTTGTGGCTCCTCGATGTTTTCGTGACTAAACATGATTCACAGATTGCATGGCTAAGAGGTGAGGGTTTCACTTAAACATCAGATCTACTGTCAGGAACGCGTCGCAGTTTTCAAGGAGGGGACAATCTTTTCTTTACCGCATCGCTGAAGGTGATAATTAAAGGCCAATTCTATCTCATTTAATGCAACCTCACCTTCATTGAAAGGGAGTCGTGGCTTCTTATCTCGCCGTCATGGCCTTTGTTGATATTGCGATCGCATTTTTTTTGGCCAAATATTTGCGTATGTTGCACAGACAAGCCATGACGTTTGCGTAAGTTCTCTTCTGGAAGAAGCCTGACTCTTGCTAAACACCTTGTTCTTGTGAACAGATTGAGCGAGATGATCGAGCGCTTGATCATCTTCTCAATGTTGAGTGGAATTTGGACCGCTTTATTCGCTCTACTCGACATGATCACAGTGAGTCACTAACAATTCAGATGTTTCTCGTGCTCAGGTCGCTTTTCAGTATCTTGGCTTTCCAAATACCGCGGTGCACGTCTTGTTCGACTTACCTCTTTGCTCGTTATACTGCAATACCCTCCTTGCGAGCCTCAATTCACGAGATAGTGGGTGTGCAGGATCGATCAGAGAATTGTCAACATTCAAAGCTGCATCGCGACCGGTCATTATATCAATGGAGAGGGGACGCGATAGCAATTTTAGTGATGACAGAGAAAGCTTGTGTGAGAATGATTCGGATTTGGTGTAATTATTACGAACGGACAAGACTTCAGGAAATAGTGTAATTGTTACGAATGGACAGAACTTCAGAAGATATCCTCAAAATCATCGCCGATCTCCAGATACCTCCTGATATCTTGCGCGTCCATCCCAGTTTGGCGAGTGAAATATGAAAGAAGGATGGAATAGTTGTCTGAAGAGGTTGTCAAATGACAAATGGTGTGACGGGCATTTACTGACCTGTCCACCGTACTGCCGCCTCATGTGCCAGAGTGACAGCTCTCCTTTTCTCCTCCACTTTCACGGGATCGCAAGCGCCATAAGCATCGATTTCTTCCTGCAGAACAGCGAGCTGCTTTTTCATGGAAGTAAGTTGTTCCAACGCTGCCGCTCGAGAGTCCTAAGTTCTCCCGGATTATCCATTATTCTTCGGATGAAATTGAAACCAACACTTAGGGGTCTGAGAGTTCTCTCGTGCTCGATAGCTGCTTTTAGCTCAGCTAGCTGAGCCTCATGGCTGGCCCTCGTCTCTTTTGCGCTGTCCAGGCGGTTTTGAACCTAAAGCGTGCGCAGGGTCAGTATAGCTACGGCTCTTTGAGAAGCGAACAGTTCAACAATAGTTCCTCTTTGCGAAGGGAAGCTCCAGAAAACTTTAAAACCTAGTTAGCATTCGGGGTTCTTGCGCATATCACGCGCATATATCCAGGTTTGGAGGCATACAGTTTGAAGCACCGATTTTATCACCCTGCACAAGGCCATCGTCGACGAGGGACTGTAAGACTTCTTTAACCGTCTGAGAAACTTGGGATTCTTTGAGTGTTATCTGATTAGTGTAACAAATAGTCATACCAATTCCCTTGAGCTTGGGACCGAGTTTCTCAAGCTCCTTTAACTATAGAACAATCAAAGGTCAGAGTATGTTTACTGAGAGATAAGATAGGTCACACCTGATAGAAGTCTTTCTAACAATCCGTATTCTCGTCATTTTCAAAGGTCAGATGCAGAGGCCCGGGTAATAACTCACCGACTCGTGGAATATCTCCATTAGCTTAGTGCGTTTCTCTTCCAAAGACAAACCTCGTGGTGCCTGAAAACGTTGCATGACCTACCAATAACGACAAAAGATTCCATACCATTGTTCAAACCGAGATAGTGTTCTGAGTTGTGTAGTTTACAGAGGAAACGTAGAGGGGTATCAAGTTGCTCAAGGAGTGAAACGCGTCGCGCGACGAAGCCAGTATAGGTCACGTGTCACCTGATCGGAAATTACAAACGGTTTGAGCCAAGTTGCAAGCGGTGAATGCATTCATTTACATGTGGAAGCAATGTGGAAGTAAGCAGAAATGACCGTGATGATTACATACGAAAAACATGCAGTCAAAGTCCTGTGGAGCGGGAAGGCGAGCATTTATCCCTGGTAACGTGGATGTGGAAAGCTAAGTAAAATGCAGAGGTGGAGGATGTGACGCAGGATGATGTACAGACACTAAACAAGATAAGATTGTCATGCGAGGAAACAGCAAGGAGCATGAAAGGGGATGTGAACGATGGTTTTGCGTTACCGCAGAATGTCAAGACGCTGGTCGTGAGAAGGGTAGCGATATGCAATAAATTCTCGGTCTTGCTCAACTCGCTCCTCCAGCGCCTTGCGGGAGATAGTAGACATACGCGGACCTGCACTTTGGCGAGACGCAGAAGGGGTATATGCTGTCGTGAGGTTATCTTCACCCTCGAAGAGTGACGCCGTCAACCGTGGAAATTCATGCGAGTTGCTGCCATTGGCTGGCTCTGGCTGTGTAGATTTCCTGCCCAGCAAGGACGCAAATCCAAACTTGCTCCTCCGCTTAGTGGGTGTGAATGGCTGAGGATTTTCATCGATATGCTCCAAGCGGCCAAGCGAGCGCCTAGAGATTCCAAACTCATTGTACATACCACCAGAACCTTTTGAAGGATCGTGTGCACCTAAGGGCATCATGGTCTGAATACCCAGGTTTGGACGAGAGATGGGACCACTGAAAGACTGTCGTCTAGGTTCTGTGCGGAATGGGGCATGCGGTAGAGTGAAATCATTGGGTTCCTGACCGACCTGACGAGGATCATAGGTGTATAATGTCTGCGGCCGTGATTCCGCAGCAGTACTGTTTGGTCGAAGTTTAACCTCACCGGGAAGGGGTGGCAAAGATTTCTCCCGAGAGAGCATAACTTGTGGCTTGGTCGATCTGGGAAGTGTCATACCGTTGGTGGAGGCAAAAGTATTCTGCTGGAGCTTCTGACGGATATCAGGCTCGGAGGTGACAGGATGAAGTAACTTTAGTCTGCCGCTTTCGTCAGCAACAACGGCATAATTCTCTTTCTCGTCAATTTGCGCGCTGCTTTTGCGGTCAGCATCACGATCTATGCCTGATGGACGTGAAGAAGTAGGTGAGGGAAGGAGGCTAGACGGCGCTGTCGAAGGGGACATGCCTGAAGAAGAAAATTGGTTGCGCGGTGAAGATGTTGAAGGAAGCGAGGGAGTGGACACGTGGCGCCCACTGCTTCCCAGATGTTCTCCTGGTCCTCTATCTACCAGATATGACAAAGGTGGTGGAGGCGCTAGAGGTAAGTCGTCCTCATTCCGCTCTGTATCTTGGGACCGAGCCGAGTCACGACCGCTTGCGTGGTTGAGCGGATTCTGTTTGCTTCCCCTGACGAGCTTCCATATCTTCGCAATGCCCTTGTGCTTCTTCTTCGATTTGTCCTTCTCGTCGACTAGCATATTAGGGGGTTCCTGGGGCTCCGCTCGTGGCCACAGTTGACTATGTCTGGGAGTAGATAACATACTCCGATCGCCGACGGGCGATCGTACGCGAAGTCCGTTGCTTTCATGCTGCAGGGCCACGCTACAAATATTTCATGAAAATGACCATTTTTATCAATAAAAACACATACTGCATATCAACCATGCTGCCCGACATCCCCGAGGGAGCGAGGCTATCCTGGCTACGCCATGTAGTACTCAAATTCTTGAAGCCAAAGAAACGCGAGCGCCGAGGAGAAGCAGATCCTCGGCTGTGCGCATCTGAGAATGATGCTTGCGAATAAACTTGACCTAAACTTGGCTGCCTGTCCGTTGGCGCGGTCAGAGAGCTAACTGGCCTGATGGAGCTTATAGCAGAGTACCGTGAGCTCTGCATTGGTCCAAGACCACTGTCGGTATGTGGGCCTAGACTGTGGACGGAATAAAGGGAGGTGACATCCACTGCAGAACTTTTAGAAGACTTCCGACCACGACGATCCCGCTTCTCATTCCTACGGCGGCGCTCTTCTTCTTTTTCTTCCTTGCGAATGTCGACATGCTCAACGATGAGACCATTCTCCAGAACAGTGAAGTCACGTGAAGGACTCTGGATGTGGTGGCCGAGGGCCCCGTTCGGGCCAATGGATGCTTGGGGTGGCTTGAGGCGAAAAGCGGCGTCATTTACTCCGCCGTTCAAATCATAGGCTGAACGACGGAATTGTGAGTACGTGTCTCGCATCTTGTGCTCCAGTTGCATCGATTCTTGCATAGCACGCGCATGTGCAAGTGCCTCAGCCTCGAGGAGACTCCGCTGTGCCTTCACGTACTGTTCCAAAGTCTGTTGCTTCGACGTTGGTTCTCGAGGAGTCTAGTCCGAATGATTAGAATCACCGATAATGAACCGGCCAGATTCGCTTACCATCGTATGCCATATTTTGATATTTTGTTCAGTTAAGCGTCCGCCTCGTGCTCTAGGTTTCGAAGAGCATTCGGATGATAAGACTCCAGCTGCCTCGTCCTCCTGTTCTCTGCGAAGTAACTCCTCATAGAGTACATCACTTTCACGCTCCCACATACCAGGACCGACTACGATAACGTCTGCCATGTCCTGGTCACGCATTGCACACTCTACACATATCTCCTCGGGAGGGATGGGGGGATTTGGGGAGAGGATGGGATTGATCGGATCTGGGGCAGCGGCAGGGGTAATGTAAGTGGGATGTTGCGCAAATGCACGTGGATTGGGAGAAATGGGGATGGTGATGCCCATAGTGGGACTGTAGGATCGTGACGAGGATAACCCATTTTGGGGTGGTAATCTGGATGGACCAGGAGCATCGAGTTGGGGATAAGAGGGCTGCCGATTGCTGGCAGGTTTGAGGGAAGTCGGAACATCGCGAAATTGTTGTGGAGGGGAAGGTAAAGTTGTAAAGGACTCCCCAGCAGACTTGAATGAGTCATCGAAAAGATGTGAATTCATCAACCCTACGCTGCCGGATGTCGGGACGTTATCGTCAAGACTATAACGTTCGCCGATACGGTGGGCTGTTCCCTGGGAGAAGGAGCTTGAGATTCCGTTGAGCTGTAGGGGAAGTCGGTCATCAGCGTTGAAATCTTCTTTGTCCTGTGGCGCTTGTGCCATTGGGTCTGAACGAGATGAAAGATGTTGTTGTTCGGTTGCTCCCCAAGTCTGGGGACCTGCGGACCCAATAATCATGGGACTAGTTTTATGGAAGCTCTTGTCGAGGGAGAGAGTGGGGTATCGGTTGTCCTTGAAATCGAGATCAGAAATTGCTAGGCTACGTTGAAAGATATTGACATGAAGATTCGGAGGAAGAGTTGACGGAACAGAAGTACAATCAGGTCGTGAAGGTTGAATGATGGTCGAGACCGCAGCCATAGCGCTTGAAATAACCGGACCAAAATTGACGGTGAGAGTCCAGTGAACAATAAAGGCTCCTCAGCTGGACTATGTCACGTAGGGTGGCCGTCGACGCAAATAGAGAGCAAAGCTTGGCACCGTCGTCGACAACCGATGACAAGCCGATGCACTGCCAGCTCAGAGGAGGGCGTATAGTGAAATGAAAGAACAGGGACACAGTACTTGTAAAGTTTGAGGCAGGAAATGAGGCGATGAAATTCGAACGGTAATGTTGCGGCAATATACCACGATCCATTTCCCATGGGTCCCTGGACCGACGGCCGGCCCTGTCCGTTCACCTGGCAGTGGCTGCTATCATTAAACTATATAATCAACGCAGACTAGCCTACTACTGATCCGTACTGGTAGGGGAACTTGGTACTAGTACTAATATCATATATGAGATGGGTCATGGGAAATGACCAACATGCAGGTTACCGAGCTGCGGGCAGGCTGTCCTGTTCATACCCACAGATCCCCCGGTTTTCCTCGCACGAATCCTAATCCTGTGCAATGTATGGTGGCCGCCAAGACGCAAGAAGCTAGGAGACCAGCGTGCTCGTCAAGCTCCAAGAGACTAGAAGATTGATGGGGGTAAAACACTTTTGGCTGATCATTGGTCGAGGCACAATCTATCCGCGGGTTCAAATGTTTGAATGCCGCCGGGGCAGTCCACACCGCTTTTGGACAATCTTCTAAGTGGAGAGGACGACTCGTGTACATTCGCTTGGAGCATAAATCGTGTGATTCAGATAAGCGTCTGGCAAAGTTCCACGAGCAAGTCCAGTGAATAGGTTACTATGGCAGATCATCATCGATCATCACATGGGCAAGACCTGGGAAGAAAATGTAGGGGTACTAGAGACATAAAACTCTTCACCACACAGTTATTGTCAGAATAGCAGTGAATAAGGGTACTTACATATTATCGTGCATGTCCCGTTCGGATAACGCAGATTATTATGTGCCAGCCAAGCAAAGAGGCCGGGAGAGGCGAGGCACTAGGTACGAGAAAACAGTAGGTCAAGCGAGTAGCAGGTGGGCGTGCAGAAATAAAGTCAGACAAGGAAAAAAACGGTGATGGCCAGCTGGCCTGGGAAATAAATGTAGTACCTTGAGCATCCAAGGTACTACCGTTCTGCCGTAAGGGCCCGGCTACGTTATAGGGGTCTTTACAAGCTGGAGATATCAAGACTTAGGCACAAGCAAGAGAATAGGCGTTCAGCTTCCTCAAATCACGCACATGGGTACGTCTCCTCCTGTTCTCTCATTGTGCTACACGGAGGGTAATTACAAGTTCTAAAATCCATACGAGGACATACACTCTTGTGGACGGTATTTCGAATGCTGCAGGAAATGGTAGTGTACAAGTGGCAATGATGATGCTGATGGGGTTGTGGTGAGATGCACCACATGATGGTTCCTATCAGATGCTAAAAACCCCGCAATGTTCTGAAAAAAAGATGAAAAGACGAACGTAAGCACACTTCGCTTACGCATTTGTGCTTCCAAACTGGTCATAAATCATGTCCCGCAGCCTCACCCACACCCGTGACTCGACACCAGCAGCTGACTGCTCCATTTCCGACACCTTCTGTTCCGTCTCCACGAGTCGACGCTTCAAGGAGTGGACTTCATCCCTCTCGGTCTCAAGTAATCGGAGGGCATCGCGAGAACGAGTCTCAGCTTCTCTGACAGATAGGTCGGTGCGTTCCTGGCGCTTCTTTGCAGCAGCAAGGTCAGCTTCAATAATGGACTTGGCTGTGCGCGTGAGACGGAGCTCATCCTCCAGAGCTAGAATACGAGTAGAAGCAGGCGCAGTGGGGATGCCTGATGTTTGCTTGGACATAGTAGAAGTCGGTAGGTTGTTGGTAGTGGAAGGAACTCGGGCGTTGTTTGCAAAAGCCAATCCCAGGGCGTTTGCATTTGTACTAGTATTTCCTGACTCAGAAGAAACAAAGTTATTTTTCGTTCCGTATATTGTGCGGAAAAGTTCTTGAGCAGCGGTTGCATGTGCGATCTTCTCTTCGGGGGATGGAGAATCGCGGCTTATATCCAGCTGACAGGCTGCAAGAATGAGAATGGCAGATCGCAAGAGAGAGGCATCGTGAGCTGGGGTGTTGACGTCTATGGGTGCAAACACGAAAGGTGCGGAAGATTTCACTGGTGATGACGAAGCCTGATAGAAGGGACCTTTGAGATCCGTCAGTGCCCAACATGATTAGTGACAATGACATATAAATTTACCGTTTTCTTTGTTTTTCCCAGTCGAAATACCGCCCGCACTAGTAGTAGGAGCATGCTTGCCAAGCAAAGCCCTAACTACTTTGCATGCTGCACGAGAACGGCCAGTTCGCCTATAGTGTGCTGCGGCAACGAGATATGCGCCGGGTCCGCTCTGAGTTGCTCCAAGCAATGTGATAGGACCAGCAGGGTCATCAGGAAGTAGATTCAAGTCGTAACTGAAGGGGTGCCCGTGGTGCAAGAGAGAGAGTCTCTCTGGTCCGAAAGTGAAGGGGATTGGTTGAAGCTCAACTATAGAAGATTCTGGCAAAGGCAGGGAAACTGGTGCGATGGATACAGGAGTTGGGGGAAGTACTTGTTGAATCGGTGTCGCGAGAACCTTGCTCTTGGCAAGGACCGGATTGCATGGAGGAGTGATGCTCAAATCGATGCTGTCCAAAAATCTATCCACAGAGTGTAAAGAGGGCACGCCTTGCGATACAGAGTGCCGTGCATCATGACGGGAATTTACAGTTCCAGAACATCTATTATTCAGGGAGGGTAAAGACGTTGTTTCTTTGCCTTTGTCGCTAGAACTGCGGCGATCAGAAGATTTGACAATATGGAGCGAGGGCCCTTTGCTGTCCTTGTGGTTGTTGGGTGGAGGGGAGCTACTACGGCGTTGCTCCTTACGATAGGAAGGCGAGCTCCAAAGGCCAGACCGTGCATGGCGGTCAGCGATGAATGCATTGTCATCATGACGCAGTCTCTGAGCAAGACACATCCTGTCTCCATCATTGGAATCCTTGCGTTCACAGTACTTCTGTGGACCGCTTGCGCTTTTTACAGACCGCTCCTTCCGCTCGGGATGTCAGCTTTTTTACCAGGCTTCTAGAGGGCCTTTGTGGAAGGTGGTCCGCGGCGAGTCGCGATGATGAACGCTCTAAAGGGGAAGGCGATGTGGGGCTGGCGACGCGATTTTTAGCCATCACAGTTTCGGACACTGGAGATATTTAAATTTTCGACGCGTCTTTTGACGCGTCAAGAACATTAGGATTATTGTGGCAATGATAAGATAGACACGTACAATCCTTGCAGATCTTGGGACAAGGGTGGCCTACTACGCGGGACTTGAGGAAGGTTCCAGTACTATGATACAAGCAGTTCTATAAAAATGAGAGGGAGAGAGAGAGAGCAAAGAGAATGAATGATTCTGTCGATCTTTATGGCCACTGAGAGAATTGGATTGTGAAAGGATAAGGAATCGCAATTGCATTCGATGTATTTGAAGAGAAGCGCAACCTTCTTTCATGGAATCTTCCGCGGCTTTAAGCTTTAAGGCACGCTAACTGCAACCTCGAGACATTTGAAGATTCGGACCACGCTAGCATCGAATACAACGAACAGAACGATTCAAGCATCACAATTGGAGGTCTTTCGATGCACGAAACTTTTGAGGTCTGACCCAAAATCGGGACTACATCCATACTATTAAGATAAGTTTCGAAATTACATAATAGCACGGATCAACACCTTATGGTTTGAACGTTCACCAGGCGCTGGTCCTCCAATATTACGGTGTCAACAAAGAAAGGGAAACCAACACTCACTGAGTGCTGAGTAATGGTGTCTGTCGGCCGAGTAGGGGATTGGCGCACGCGCCGCTACAATTTACTACCTCTACTCATTGGCTGCAGTGGCGGAATGTAGCGTTGTCATCTCAAATTGCTCGCACTATAAAACCTAATATTTGGCGGTAGCAGAATTAAATCGTATTACACTTCCCATGGCTACAATATCGAGGACTCATCAATTCACTGATTTGAAGGGCTGACGAATGTCTTGTAAAGGGATTCGTCGACATTTCTCTCGTCTAGAATACCATTGACATTAGATAAACATGTGGATAAATGCCTCTGCTGACCTCCAGCCGACTCCGAGTCGGTCAACATGGGGGAGTCGGCATTCCGTAAATGCAATATCTCTGGGTCGCCAGTAACCGTCAGCGGAGGTACATCTATATAGCTGGCTCAAACACTTACCTGCGTCACAAATGCGGGAAAAAATACCTGTCATGCAGGCCTCCTTGATCATTTTCTGTAGTTGTAGTTGTTGATGAGATTCAAGTTGTAGCATTATCTCGACAAAATTCTTCATGTCAAGCACATTATCCAGGCCTAACTTGCGGAGTGCGGCGCAGGTCGAATAAAAAGCCATAGCGAGGACCATGGAATAATTTGAATAACTCAAGTTCTCGTCCGAGTCTCGAATTGACTCCACGATAGAAGAATTTGCCAGCGCATTGTGTATAGTTTGATCAAGCTCATCACGTTGTGTTTGTGTGAACGGTAGGGGTATCACACGGAGATTCTGTGACCCTGCAGATTGTCCTGCCTGCTGTACCATGGGGCCGATCTTGTCGATTATTAGTGAAAATGGTAGTTTTAGGAGAACGGTAAGAAGAGGAAAAACCTAGTGATAGGCCAGATTCGACCTTTGGAGTAATTAGTCACAAAGGCGCAGCACAGCTTCGAACTTCATATGAGTATTACTCACACATCGGGGTTTTTTATGTAAATCGACTTTCGCTTGGTGAGATTGCATGCGGCTGTCCTCAGCCAGACATTCGAGGCTCATCTCTGTTGCCAGAGAGCAAACCATTCCTCGACCTTATTCAGTCCGCAATGTTGCAACCAGAAGATCAGATTCAGCGTGCATTTGCGCATATCTCTTCGCTTTATGGCTCGACCTTATTCTCAACGATGACGACCTAGTCAGGACATCCATACTATTTATATACATAAGATAAGTATAGGTTTTGAAATTACATAATTATTTTCATGCCGTAGATCGACACCTAGCCGTACTATGATGAGCGCCTGTTCCTCCACCTTTGGGCACTCAGGTCAACTTGCACTATCTGGCACTAGGCAAAACGGATGAGTGTATTTCCAAAACATACAATAAGAATACATCCATGCCAACAGATGTGGTAACACTGCTGTGAGTGTTCCGCCTATTTATATAGGAGCGAATCAAAAAAAATAATCACCTCTGGGCAGACCTTACAGAATGGAGAGTCGAGACAGTTGGAATTGTTTCTCCATGACAAAACAGTGGTCACTGTTCCATAGCTAGTGCATACAAGGGGAAAGAATTTTGACCTGCTCACGGACAAGACATTGACAATAGCGTTGGAAACAAAGATCGCACAGTCTTCCCAACATGCGCCTATGCTTGCACAGGATCTATTGCATCCGAAAAAAAAGTGATATCCCGGTCGTCATTCCACCGTGGACAATATAAAGCACAGATGGGCTTCAGTGAACTGCGCAGTAGGCACTTACACTTTTTAAATTCTCCCCTTAATCTTTTACTTATTCTTCTCCAAATTTTGCCCTTCGTCTGTTAACTTATTCCTTGAAAACTTGTAAATCTACAATGTTCTTCAACTTTACAATTCTTCTTTTAGCTGGCGCTGGTTTCGCCGTTGCTCAATCGTACGTTAGACCAAAGTTTTTTTTTTGGAGACTGAGCTGACATTTTGTGTTCAGGGGACTCTCTTCGCAGTGCCAGAGCGCACTACTTAACATTTCAGCCTCATCTACCACCGCATGTTTGAACCCATCAGGACTTATCTCGCTCGCTATCACGAACTCAAACTCAAGTTCGATCATTCCTGGTGTCAACACCTGGATTTCTGGCATGTGCTCTCAAGCCGCCTGCAGTAACTCGACCCTCCAAACTGTCGTAACAGACGTCATTTCAGGATGTTCTTCTGATCTTTCGAGTATTGGAGTGACTACTACCGACACAACTACTATTGTCACATCCATTCAGGCCTCCTACTCTACTTTTCGACAGCTTTTGTGTTTGAAGGAGTCAGTTTGGCAACTATCGTTTGCTTTTCCCCCTTGTCTAATCAATTTTGTAGCACCTCGACGAGCACTCTTTGTGTTCCTGAGCTGCTGACGAATATTGAGTCTTCCACGTCGACTCTTTCGCTGAATAGCATAGTCGCACTTGTCACAAAATCGCTGTCCGGTCAGAGCACTGGAATCCCCTCGAGTACCATCTGCACCAACTGCACCAAGGCTGCATATACCGTCCTTAGTCAAGGTCTTCCTGGAATTGCTAGCACTGTTCAAAGTTCGTTTTCATCGCAATGTGGTGCTAACTACACAAGTAATTTTTGTGTCATTTTATTTCGTCGAGGTGCTCACATCCTCCGGCAGATGGTCAGATGCCTTCTGGTATTCAGGAGGCAGCAAGCTCGTCAACGACGAGCAGTAGTGGTGCTATTTCGCTTTCCGTTAGTAGTCTCAACGTGGGTGTTGCTGCTGTTGCAGCCGTTTCAGCCGCCTTCGCAATCTTTGCTTAGGATTCATAATGAATTTATGGACTTATTTGGACTGTTCAGCGACTCGATTAGTTACGAATATGGACGCTATATGACTTTTTGTGCTCGTAGAGTACACTGTCAATGCACCAATCTTTCGCAGTTGCAGCAGCGAAACGGTAAATGGTCAGGAGCACCTAGTTTTTCGAAAGTCCGGTCCTTCCGTCCGTCTTACCGCTGAGAACGTCGGAAATAAAAAGACAAAGCTGGAATCAAGAGATAGCCACAAAACTAGCGCATGCAAAACTGCAGCGGAACAAAAGAGCCGCGTTCACATTATGAGCTCGCCTTGCGACAAGACCAATGTGAGTTTGCATGAACATCGTGAAACAGCCCGATAACACTCCTTGTTTAGTGTCTTCGTAGTTCACGGAAGTGCTTCACAGCAACCCAGACCACGAGACACACAGCAAGGACCTTCCATACAGAGCGAAGTATCCAAGCCATAAAAGTCAAAAGTAGAACATCTTCTGCATAGCCAATGTTGCACAGAGGGAACGAATCCCTCTAGTATTTGTCAATGAGCGCGATGCAATTGGATCTTCCATACATAATTAAAGCTTACACCCTGAAATCTGCATCATCGTTATTGCGACCATTACTACGGTTGTGATGGCCAGAAATGTGACGACGAGAAATATCAGCACCTTTCTGGACCGCTGATACATGTAACCGAGTGATTATAACAACTTGCATGATGCATCAGTGAAGTCAATATCAAAGGGCACTGCCTACAACCTGATGTATAAAACTGTTGTCAGCGAGATGGCTGCTCTTATAATGGTGTTGACCTACCTCTTGTCCGAACGCTAGTTCTAGAAACCCCATGATGTCAGTGGTCTTTCATACTTAATATTGTTCACCCAATCGTATATTACCGCGGCACAGGCGGTAACTGCGAAACCGTAGTGAATATTAATGGTTCATCACGGTCATCATGCGGCTGTCTCTGAACAAACCCAGAAAAAATAGCTGCCAATAAAATTCGCATTGATGGTCACAATACTATTAGAGGACGGGAGTGAGCGAGCAAGGGAACTTAGCAAATATAACAATCACATTCGTGCTTGACATGCCACTATCCAACATTTAACCGAAGTGGGATTTGAGGGGCAACATCTGGTTGCTCGAAGTACGGACATCCAGGAACATATCGATGAGTTCAAAGTAGATGTTATGAAATTCTACAGCAGTGACTCACGCGGAATGTCTGAATGCCGCAGAAGTTCTAACTGCCAGTGTGATCTTCGAGGCAGACCCAGGCTGTCAATGATACCATTTCCTTGCTCTGACACAGCTATAAACAGTACCCAAATGGTGAATTGCCCTCGTAACAGACATTTCTCTCAAGATCAGTCAAGTGTTTTTTGACCTTGAGAGAAATCCGCTCTACATACGAGCAAAACCGTTCTTCCGATTCATGTACACGCTAATTGGTGCAAATGTTATGCGACCAAAAGTACATATGTGCGTCATTTCCAAAGGAAGAATGATCGACAAGGAAGTGGCATGGACAGGATTGGATGTAACAGGAACAAAAGATATGATGAAGAGGCAGTACATACTTGATGGTACACGCTTGAATGTGTAGTCACGGACTCACGGTGATCCAGTTTGGTGGTTCGCAATGCGCATGAGAGAAAATAGAAAACAGAGGAATTACGTCAGCGACCACACAGAGAGAAGTTCGTTAATGCCGTGACTCGGCAAGGGTTTAGAGAGTTGTTCCCATACGCTGCAATCCAAGGCCTTGCTCACTGAGCCAACGAGCAGTCTCTCTGACTGGCACATAGTCAGTCGATGTCCGCGATGCAGGCAAGCACACCTCGCTCGCCGCGATTTGACCTTCCGCCAGCACCTGTCTATACCACTTCCAATACAACTGACAACGGCCTTGCGGAGTGGACGAGCAAGATCAAGGCAATGCAACGACAGGTTGATGCGGATGATGAGGCAGAGCAACGTCGTCTAGAGGAAGAAATTGTGCGGGCGCGACTTGCGAGGATGAGACGAAATACATCAGGCATAAGCGGTGATTTTGGCATTGGCATGCATGGGATTGATCTGGGTCGGTATCTCTTAGCACAGACACTCCCGTAACCTCTAACTTGTAGATGATTGCATAGGCAAGTTACAGGAGTCATCATCTAGTGCCATTCCGCCAAATGATCCGCTTGCCGGCAACACTATTGCATCTGCCTCAGAGAAGCCACCCCGAGCTATGCCTTCACATAAACCAGCAGTATCATCTAATGCCACGGCTAAGAGAGCCCCCATGTCATTGGCTGCTTTTATGGGTGGATCAACTGCTGCTGGACCTCGATTAAAACGCCACGAGCCACAACAGGACCCCACTATTGTACATGATGGGCGTAAGGACCACGGTCCCATACATCCAATATTCGGAAAAAATGGAATCGCTATGCCAGGGATGGTCAAAGGGGGTACACAACCTCCTGCAGCTGCCACACCCGTTCTTCCATTTCCCCCTTCTACGCCAGATATCGTGAGATCTCGTACTACGAGTACTTCCTCAGTCGCCCGTCGATATGTAGAGCAACTTGAAAGCCAGCCGCAGTCTCTGAACCCGGGACTTGTAGGGCCAAGCATTCGGGAGCGCAGGATAAGTACTCCTGCGGGCAGCATTTCAGCACAGCTGAAAGCAGATACGCCACACTCGCCTTCTTACCGTCTGTCTCAGAACTATGGCGTCAAATCTGCTGTAGTTCCACCAAGTTCCCTCGTTGAATCTCGGCCGAAACCCATCATCACTGCAGAGAAGCGCCCCAAGACACCTGTTACTGAAACTCGTGTGAAGACTCCCAATCCTGAGTCTGTCCGTGCTAAGACTGCGACAGAATCTCCATACTCCAAGACGTCTAATCCTGATCATACTCGGGCGAAGACCCCCAACCCTGAGCCCAATTGTGCAAAAACACCTGATGCAGATTCTGGTCACACGAAGGGCCCAATTTATACACGTTCAAACTCTTCTTCTTTGACACCTGGACAACAGTCTGCTCAAATCCCAACTATTACTCCGACGTCCCCTGTGCGGCAGACTTACTCTCCACAGCCATCGCGTGGGGTTTCCCCTGCCTTTCTGCATCCGACTGTCACTTCATCTACCAAGGATCCAACGCCAAGTATCAGCCGGCTGCAGGGTCGTGGCTTCGTGCAGAGTGTTGTTCAAGCCAGTGGACGCCTCGAATCAGTAGCAGGAACCGTGAAGAAAGAGAGCACGTTTGGGTCACCAAATCAAGCCGCCAGTGAAATGCGAGAGAAGAATGCTAGAAGAGCAGTCTTAGACCGTTGGCAGCCGGCGATGAGTAATGCTGGGACATCATCGTCGGCCCCACAATCCCCATTCCCGGCAAACCGCGGGAAGACACCAGAAGCCAGGCAACCAGACGTGAAAACGCACGACACGGAATTTCCTTTGAAGAGCGCTGTATCCACTCCCACCCTTTTGAAAAGACCATCTGGGAAGACAAGTGCTCTTTCTGAGAGTGCGGACCATAAGTTGGGGTCCTCCACCACAATCATTACATATATCGAGCCAACCAAGACTGTTGACGATCCAGTCGTTCGTAATGTTGGCGAACTCGGTGTGACAGCGGATGGGAGTGAGGCGAGGACGCGTGTATCTTCGTCTCCTAACAAATCATTGAGTCATGTGCGTGCTCTCCGACAATGCTCATTGCATTGATGATTGACGGAATTTTTTCCTTTACATCCACATTTCTTAATATCTTGGTTTCATGTATGGTATATGATGGCTTTTAATCGGAATGCGCGCTCTTTTGCCGTGATTCGATTTGTCTCTGTTTCCCGGCTTCTGAATTACCAGCCAACCAAGGACAGAGCGAAGAAACCTCGCAAAACCGGTGGTTCTACACATGTTGCCTCTCCTGAAGGACAGCTTCCTGATGCAAAAGCCACCTCACTCCAGCCAATCGCGCCAGAATCGATCCCTTCAGCAACGAACACTCAATTATCGATTTCTCCCCCTCAGCTAATGATGCGATCTCAATTGGAACCTCAGCCACAGCTTCCACTAACGATCGCACCGTCCGACACCACTGGTCGCGTCACAGACCGCTGGACAGAGCCGACACTGATTGGTGTAAAGCCTATTAGATCCTCAAATTCTGCTGCAGGCCAGCCTCCCCCGAGTCAGAAACCGCAGGATATGGTGGGCAGACTGGCGCTACCAGGCCTAGCGGCTACACCAGAAACTGTGGAGAAAGTGAAAGTAAAACCCCCTCTTGGAAAGGAGCGCGCGGTCTCGCCTTCACCTGGCCGCATTCCTAACACAGGAAATCGTGCCACCGTCATGGACATTGCGCAAACTTTGAGTGAGGCCCAGGAAGGAAACGATCGCGCGCTGAGTCCACCTGCTCATAGCATTTTACCTCTGAGTTCTCAGGCTGAGAAGGGAAAGTCGAGCGGCGAGAAATACGTCTCTTTCATGATGCCTCCGCTGAAAGAGGAGAAGACACCTGTGTCGTCTCCAGCAGGAACATTGGCAAAATCGTCTGGAGAGGCGTTACTGGATTTCAAACTCGGTGAAAGCCCCAAAAGTAGTCTAGGAGTCAAGCAGACCATTCAGCGCACTACCTCGAGTTCATCGCACATGGGTGAGTCAAGCCACATTGTTGAGCATCAAGTAATTAATTCTTTTGACAGATCACGCGAACGAGTCCCTGCCAAACGTCGATGTGGATGCTCTTTTGAAATTTGTTCCTCCAGCGTTTAGCGCCGACCCAAATATTCACACCATCTCTGTTGAAACTTTATCCATCAATAACGGCACCGCGATCCCTATCCTGCGCGATATCCATATATTCTACGATACGGAGGCTTTGGTGATTGTACACCGCGGAAAGGTCCGTGACAGTGGGCTTGTCACTACGAAGGTTTGGTGCTGGCATGGGAAACAATGCCGGTTTGGTGAAAGAGAGAAGAAAAAGGCAGATGAGCTTGCAAGACGGTATGGATCAACTCTGGTAAGGATATGTTTTTAAGGGAGGAATTAGATATCGAACACAGGAATGGCTTTCAGGAATCAGTGTTCCAACGACACGAACCTCCTGAACTTGTTCATGTTCTGGGAGGAAAGCTTGCGATCCGGCAGGTCGGTACATCATGATGTTGTTGCTATGCTTTTACGTTAATACCCACCTTAGGGCACTCGCGCACACTGGACTTCGGAAAATACAGCAATGCACGTGGTGCGCTCGAGCGGGGAACACATCTTGATTGACCAAGTGAATTTGGTATGCTGCTCGCATGAACAGACCTGGAACAACGTTGAACTTCTGATTACAGAACATCCGAAACCTATGTTCAGGCTATAGCTATTGTGTCTCTATCCTTGACCAGATCTTTGTTTGGCATGGTTGTGGGTCAACTCCGAATGAACGCAATGCTGCCCGAGATTACGCACAGGTCTCCGCCGTAAGAGGGACTTCTATCACGGAACTTCGAGAGGGTGACAATGATGTACATGATGAGATGTTCTGGATGGTCCTCGGCGACTCTGGGGATTACGCCAAGGCAGACTATTGGAGATTCAGAAACACCTCTGCTTCCAGTGACCCCCGATGCTGGATCGTGGATGTCATGGTTGAAAACGACCCGGTATGCTGTTTGATGACATGCGGCTGGCTTGTACCTGACATGGATTTAGATTCGTGCTGTTGCATTGATATCGGCGGAGACTATACACCAGCAATCAGTGTACATTATCGACTGCTCTTTAGAATTCTTTGTCTTGGTTGGAAAACACGCACGTTCTAAACGTTCTGATATCTCTCTAGCAATTCAAACCGTTATGGTAAGCATCATGTCCCTCCTATGAAAAAATCTCTAATATTATTTCGTATGTTAGGCCATGGCAAAAAGAGTGGCAATATCTAAACCGTTTTCTCCGACCATCCATGTACTTGTAATACCTACGCGACTCCCTCTGGACATGCGGCATGCCTTCCGCGATCTTGATGAGTCTCAAGTGGTACTTTTTTCTCCCTTCGAGCATCTGGCCCGCGCTGATCTTTTGTACTAGAATGGGGGCTTCGTCCCTGATCACATGAATATCCTTTCAACTACTGAGGCGATTGAGCATGTCAGTGTCCTTTTATGAATGTGGCTAGTTCTTCAACGTTGCCCACTGACTACTTTATGGAACAGCTGCGCACTTCGTCATGGGAGAAAGCAGCACTGCGAGATCAGAATATGCTTCCTTTGGGTCTTGACGCAGAATCTATACTATCATCTTAGTATTTTTCTGACGCTAGATATAAACCAACAGAATGATCTATATTGTAAAGTAGTTTTTACACATGGCTGCATTCGCGCTCTGAAATCACCTTCCCAGTCAAACATCGTGATCTTGTCGATGACCATACCAAGTGTCGGGAGTGTTTTTAACAGTGGAACATCTGTTGCGTCCAGCCGGCAAGTTACGTCGGACTCCGAATTTCAAACTGGTTCCGCGGCATATTTCGTAATCTTAGCGCTGAAGCATTTAAGCGCCCGCTAATTAGGAACAATGCTTAAGAACCATTACATTTCTCGTGGAACCTTTGTAGACCGTGGTAAGCTTTGTTTTTGCTTCAAATTCTTTTGTCTCCATCAGTATATAACTGCAACAATGATTTACTTGCACTTCCAGCGTGCAGTTCTTTATACCCTTGAGCTCAGCTCTCCAGGTCCAAGGTTCAGCGTTGAACGTTCAACCACACATTCTAACAACACGCTCTTTACAACATGACACATACTCTCTGCGTCCTCGGGTTTCTACTCCTTCTGTCTCTGGATCTCATTTCTGCCCGCCACGTCACTCGAAGCTGCCATCCTCACAGTAGCAGGTCTAGTGGTAACTCCAGTGCCCATCCGTTGTCTGGGGTCATTTCTGTGGGTAGTGCACCTCCTCCTGCACCCGCAACAAGCACCAACGGCGGCTCTTCGTGTTTCCCGTCTGCGGGTTTTGTTATGCCGTCTAGTGTTCCCAGCTCGACCAATGGTTGGTGGTGTTCTCCAAATACCGAATATGCCTTCCTTGGATTCAGTTATGAAGTATCTGCTTGTGCGACCATCGTTTCTCCTAACATTCATGAGCTGATGTAACTTTAGGCCAGTCTGCAAGCAAACTTAACAGCGATTTTGCTGACATCAAGCACACCTTTGGATCGAGATACGTCCGCCTTTACGGTGCTTGTGATAGAGCCGGTTTCTAGTAATGCATTTTCAGTTCCAATTGTTCCAGAGCTGATTAGTTTTTATTTTAGCGATGATATCGTTGACGCTGCATGGGCCTCAGGTCTAGGCGTTCACGCTCTGATTTGGGTGAGACTTTTTATGTGAAAATGGCGGCTGTGGTTGTGACAATTTTTGTTCTACATAGTTTGGGTTCGATGGAGGCGATCAGTGGATGGCTCGCCGTGATTCGCTGGTTTCTTCGCTCACTAGCAACCCCAAGGCCAAGTTCGTCACTCGAGGCGTCCAATTTGGTTCTGAGCCTCTGTTCGATAACGTACTACCGCATGAGCAGCTTGCAGCGCAGGTCATATCTTTGAAATCCAAGCTCCGTGACGTCGGCATCCCTGTTACTGTCAGCGAACTCGCATACGGATACCAGGAGCGTGGCGGGGCTCAAGATGTCCTCGATGCTATTGACTTTATCAATATCCATATGCTCCCTTTTTTCTCGGCCCTTGCAACGTTTGGTGCTGCTGCATGGCCCCTCCTTGAGATTGACATGAACTGGTTTATCGAACATGGCAATGGCAAGAAGATGTACTTTGATGAGGTGTGTCTGTCATGGTCAAGTGGAACTTTTTTCTTTAGCTAAGGTGCCCCAGAATGGCTGGCCCTCTGTCACATCCCCTGGCGTTCAGGCTAACAGCATTCTTGCCCAGTGCTCGGTAGCCAACGAGGAGGTCAGTCGCTTTATGAAATTTAACATCTTTGGTAGTCTAATGAACTTGACGCAGGCCTACTTTTCTATGCTCGATAGCCATTGCGAAGATCTCAAACTTGGTCCTCAGGGCGGTATCGGTTGGTTTGCTCATATTTATAGCGACGAACAAGAGCCTGGCTATGGCATCTACGACGATAAGGGAAACAAGAAATTTCCCTTCAAGCCTCGCACGTCTTGTTAGACATGATATCGTCTCGACTTATATATATCTGGACATTCATTTACTCATTCATTCGTTCATTATATGGCACAAGGCATCGTTTATTCAGTTACATGATTGAAAGGGAACAGCAGATCTACTCAATACACTCTACCTAAATTCTCATAGATATATATCCTGTAGCATTATCATAATTATACCCATTGCAATGGAACTCGTCAGAAATACAACTTTACAGTACGATGGAAGATTATTCGATGTAACAATATCTCCAGCAGAACCTAGATCATATATCAGCCATACCACTTGCCTCCCAATCTCGTCTTAGCTGCCGGTCTCTGAGGTATCATAGACTCCGTGATCTCGAAAACTTCTATGGCACGCTGTTTGCCAGATAAATTGAATTTGAATCGATACAAATGGAGGTTTCTTACCCTCCATGTGGCCATGTCAAACTCCATAACTATTTGGTGGCATGTTACCCCGTCCGCGCGGTCTTGTGCACTAGGTGCTTCGCATAAGACTACAAATGTTGAGTATACGGCTGATAAACTCAAAGAGTCAACGCTCACATATGATCGGTTCTCCGTGATCGTCGATTTCGAGGGCGCAAAGACCGTCTCGGATGAGGAAAGAGAGGTAAAATATGTTTTCTACCGATTGTGCAAAGTCGTTGGGGTTGACTACAAAGCGGAACAGGTTCACAGCACCAGAATCTTCAAGGATTTCTCTGATCTATGTGGAGGTTTTGTCCGATGAACTAAGGGGGCTCCTAAAAACCTACCTTGATTACGTTCTTCGTGGTTTCGTTCTCTGATCGTTGAATGTCTTCTTCTCTGATCTCCTGAGGTCTGCGTTCTTGTTCTTTGCTCTTCTCAAGTTTGGCACGTTTGACCGGAGCGCGTTTCTTTTGTTCTACTGAAAGAGGTCCAAGCCTGTAGTGGGCTGAGTACGAAGTCTGAATTTTTGGGAAACAACCGACATGAATCCCATTACCGGGACCCTTCTACTCTTTGCTAGTGCCCTTCGACCAATTTTCTCCCAGTCCATCACAGAGTCACCGATGTCATCTAGTTCCGAAGCATCGTCTGCAAGCTCGTGCCTGCTGCCCATAAATATAGCAAGTTTGGAGACAAAGTCATCGACGTCGAAGGCAGCAGAGCCAAGCTTCATTGCACGGGCTTTCTGCGCACTAATACTTGACACATTCCGAAGTACAGTAGAGTCGAGGGTGGCTTCGGTCGGATTTTTCACTGAAAATGTCTTTCGTTATACGAACCAGGGAAACAAAAAGAAAACACACCTTTTTGAAACAATTCATCAGCTTCTTCGACATGTTCAACGAGTTCAGCAGCCCTTATATCTTGTGGGCGAAGTTGTTCTTTTACGGAAAGACCATGACAATAAGCTTCTAGCTCATGTGGAGTAGCGCCGACCACGGACCTCCTGTCCTCTTTTCAAGAGCGCGATATTTTTTCCGGATGTCGCGTTTTTCAGCGGCATCCTGGTCTGGATCATATGGGAGACTGCTTGGACTGCCCATGCGCACGTTCGGATCGAAATGAACCATTTCTGTGGAGTTTCTGCCGATTAGTATTTACTCGTGGTAGAAGACAAGAGGCGCGTATCACGTAATCAATGGCGCGTCGCGTCGCGGCGAATATTCCGCCAAAGCCCTGCAAATAGACTCTATTCGTGTTCTGCCACTGGAACGCCACTGAGAAGTTAGAAACTAACACAACACATTCGCAAGGCACCTACGTGGGTTTTTGTCGATGGTATCACCAAAACATTCTATCGATGTGAGCATTAACGTTGTTCATTGTGCTGCCAACGTGGGGCTTATAGGAGCTTAGTATAGTAGAAGCACCCGGTCGGTCTGCAAGGGCCCCGCTCCTTGCAATGGCTCCCCAATTCCGGTCGGAAGCTTGAGATACGGTCAACTTGTTCCAGGAGAATATGGTGAAACAGTCGCCTGGCGTCACTGGTAAGTAATGCTTCTATTTACTGTATATTATTGATATTATCGAATGTTTATGTTAACTATAAAAATTCACAGGGGATGTGTCACTCCGGATATCTTGAGAAGCCTTGCAATAGTGGATCAAAGCACAATAATTGGTTTTGGAAACATTCGGTGAGAAGTTCTCTACGATGGGCACGTTGAGTTTGCATTAACTCCTTCAGTCCGGAGGATCAGGCCAAAATCCGGCGAGCAATCGCGAACCAACGTGTGGATTCAGCGGACGTTCCCCTAACTGCAAAAGTAGCTACCTCTGCTGCTGCTGCTGCTGCTCGTGTTACACCTTCCACCTCCCAAGCCCCTGCTCCAAGTCAGAAAAAGCGCAAAGCTCCATCTGAGCAGGCAGTATCGACAAACTCTCAGCCGAGCTCTGTAAAGCCGACTATACGAACCACCATGCGTCCCATCATATATGATGAGGACGATGAAGTCACTATTATCGAAGCTGACCCTGTAGATGTTTTGTATTGCACCTTGAATTCCAGTATTGTCGGTGTTCAATATTACAAAGGTGAGTTTTTCCGCAGACTTTCTTCACATTTGCATTCGTTGATGTGGCGTTCCAAGGTCTCGTTGGTCCTGGGGAGGAAGTCAGGCTGGTTAGAGAGCCGCAAAACCAATACGACAGGTATCTGTAAAAATAATCGATATTGAACTAAAAACTAATACTGCTCCAGGAATGCGATTGAGGTCAGGAATATCGGAGGTACCAAGGTCGGGCATGTACCCAAGGCGGCGGCTGCGAAGCTTGCCCCTCTATTGGATCGCGGCGCGATTACTGTTGAAGGTGTGATGCACGAAGGAAACTGTAAGTCTAATGCACATACAATACAGGCAAGATTCCCTGAAACAATGAGATACCTAGTGTCTGGATTTAGCTACTCACTCTCAATGTAAGAGTTGTTTATTACATTGCATGTATCGGAAGAATGCTCACTATTCACAGGGCACTGAAGATCTATGGACCGTCTGACAAGAGGGACCAGCTAGAGCCCCAGTTAATTTGGGCTACTCCTCGTCAACGCGGGTTTCCACCTCGTGGAGTGAGAGGCGCGACTGGACAAGTATCATCTACTGCATATGCAGCTGCAGCTGGGCCTCCAGTAGCAAGTTCATCCACATCTCAGCCCTCGTCAAGCCAAAGGTATGAAGCTACAGCAACGAAATCAAAGTCCCAGCAGCAAGCTATTAAAAAGCAGCAAGAGTCCTTTAGAAAGGAGCAAGAAGCTCTGCAGAATGCAACTGAGCTCAAACAGATGTTGAGCGGTCTAGAGAAAGTAGACAATGAGGGAAGACGTGCTTCTCTCCTAGATGCGTTATGTTCTGTTGACGACATTCTCAATCTTCCTGTCCATCCCGCCCCCCCTGGCATCGCCAGTGGTGATTTGGTTGTTGATTTACTCAAGCACCAGGTAGGTGAAGTCGCTTGTGTAGTTTTCATGTACTTCATTATTGTATGCAGAGCCAAGCGTTGCAGTGGTGTATCGATCATGAATACCCGTCTTTACCGACTAAGGAGTCTGACAAGCCGGTTCAATTTTGGCAGTACAGAAAGATTGGCTCGAAGGTGAGTTATTTATGCTTCTTCTAAACTTTCAGTCATTCATTCATTCATTCATTCATTCATATCAGCCCCATTACTTCAACAGTTGAGTATGTGACATCGCTTGCTGTACTTTGTTCATCGGTGCGGGTAGTTGCAACGAAAACTCCTCAAGAGATATCATCACCTCCTCTGCTCGGCCGCGGCGCCATCCTTGCGGATAGCATGGGGCTGGTCAGTACAACTTAAACACTTGGAGGTGATATTAACCTTGTATGCAGGGAAAAACGCTTTCCATGCTAGCTCTCATTCTTGCAACTAAGAAGGACGTTCCCACTGATCATTCGAAGAGCACACTTATTGGTGACGTCTTTTTTATTTATTTATTCGAGGGTCTTTCTGCTGATTAAGGATACCAGTTGCTCCACTTTCGGTCATATCCAACTGGGAGAAACAGATTGAAGAACATTGTGTCAGGGGTGCAATTTCGTGTTGCACCTATTATGGTGCAACACGCGATATGACACCTCAACAACTCTCGCAGCATGATGTCGTCATCACTACATATCAGACAGTCACTGGAGAATCCGACATTTCTGCAGCCACGGTTGGTAATGGACCATCTAAGAAGAAAAAGAAGGTTGAGAAGGCGCTGTTCGACGTGAAGTGGAAGGTGAGTGAATCATGGTATGAACATGAGCTATAGCCTATCTAACTCTGTCGTTCAATCAGCGAGTCATTCTTGACGAAGGACACACGATTCGTAATCCGAAGACAAAGATGGCCAAAGCGGTCTGCAGACTCGCGGCCCAACGCAGATGGGTGTTGTCTGGCACCCCCATCGTGAGTGTACAAATTTTTGATGTCAAATGTTTCATCTACAATTCCGTGTTTTCAGATCAATTCTCCAAGGGTGTGTTTTCCGAAGACATAGTAGAAGAAACACGACTAAACCACAAATACCTGCAGGATCTTGGGTCTCTCTTGACCTTCCTTCAGATTTGTCGTCCACTCGACAAGGAGGACTTTTATAAGCGCCTGCTCCTACGTCCTTTGAAGGATGGAGATCCCTCCGGTGCAGAGTTACTGAGAGTGAGTAGTTTACCACCCTAAGTCGAATCATACTGTTTACTACGACTGTAGGCTCTGATGAGTCATGCCTGTATTCGTCGCACAAAGGAGGTAAGGTACTGTAGATTACAGACGGACAGTTCTGATTGAACCTGGGTTTTGTAGATGCAAGACAAATCTGGGAAGCCACTTGTACCTTTACCTCCGGTAATGCTGACTGTCGTTTACTCCAAATGTACAGTTCCTCTAATTTCTCTGTTAGGTCGACATGACTGTCATTCCAGTTCCATTGGGAGATGAAGCACGAGTAAGGTTTGTTCACTGCTGTAATATCGGCCACACTCAATGTCATATAGGCTCTCTATGATGCTATTGGGTCAGTCTCTCAGCAACGAGTGGAGAAGTACATGAACCAACAAGGAGGAATTACTACTGCGGTAAGTAATCTCAGATCGCAAAGACAACTGTATTAACCTGTGTTCTCCTTATAGTTCACGACAAACGTTCTTAGTATGCTAACACGACTACGGCAGGTAGCCCTGCATCCAGGCCTTCTTCCTCCGAACTACTTGGAACAACTTCGTGCTACGGAGGATGACGAAGAAACTGCCCGTGTCGCTCTCCCGATTACTCAAGATCAGAGGCGCCTTCTGCAGAGTCTTCTCGCCAAAGCTATTGAAGACAGTGAAGAGTGTCCTATTTGCTTCGACGTCCTTAATGATCCGAGGATCACAGCCTGTTCTCATTATTTCTGTCTCGCATGGTCAGGGTTTGTTATAGTGCTTGATTGCAACAGTAATCTGATTCGATTTCCAAAGCATTTCCGAAGTGATAGCCAGAGACCCGAAATGTCCCATGGTATGGCTATGTCTATAGCTGTCTTCAGTTCGCTGACATATCTCCAGGATCGCCGTACCATTGGAATGGGTGATTTAATAGAAGCACCACCTCCCACTGAACTTACTCAACTGCCTGTTTGTCGTGACGAGAACGAAACTCGTGATAGCACACTCCGAACCGGATCGTCTGCAAAGATTGATCAGTTGATCCACCTCCTCCAACTCATCCCTGGCGACCAGAAGAGCCTTGTTTTTTCTCAGTTTACTTCATTCCTGGATAAGGTGTGCCTGAAGCCTCAAGGCTTTGCAATCATGCTCATGTCACTGTTTTCAGATCAGCGAGGCCTTCGAGGAGCATGGGTATGATCTTATTGTTAATCACTTTTCAAGACAATGCTAATTGCGTCGTAGTATTCCATATGTGCGGTTCGATGGTCAGCTGTCAGCAAAGCGACGGAAAGAAGTCCTCGAGCAGTTCTCTATTCCACTTGAAGCTGAAGAGGATCTGGCGGTTGACATCGAGACTTCCGTTCCGCTACGCAGAAGACGTGCGTCGACACAAACTTTAGTGGAAGAAGATGTCCTTCTGGAGGAAGATGATTCCAGCTTCGTCGTAGATGATACTGATGATGGTGACGACGACTTTGAAGAGGACATCTCTACCATGGCAAAGAAAGGCAAGGGAAAGTCGAAGCCTAAAAATAAGGGTAAAGCGAAGGCAACATATGGCCCATCAACTAGCAAGAACGATGGCTCCTGTTTTGGAAGCAAGATTCCCCGAGTGATGTTGATTTCTTTGAAGGCTGGATCATTAGGTCTGAACCTAACTGTCGCCAATAATGTCATTTTGTAAGTGATGTGTTCTTGTCGCTGCAACGTGACATTTACTTAGTATCGTAGGATGGACCCGTGCGTTTCTCTATGATAGTTACTTCCAACGAACTGACCTTGACCCACCCGTATTAGCTGGTGGCAGGCAAGTTCTTTAGTCTCCCCTTGCATGACAACAACTTGACACACATAACAGGAGGGTATTGAAAGTCAAGCAATCGACAGATGTAATCGGTGAGCTGCAGCACGTGTCTTCCACCGTCAACCGAACTGACTCGAAGAAGTATTGGACAAAAACGACCAGTTCACGTTTACCAGCTGATCGCTGAGAACACTGTCGAGTCCAAAGTACGTTCGCCGAATTGGGTGTTCTATCTTGCTGAAAATTTTATCAGGTCATCGAGATACAAGAGAGAAAGAAGCTTCTGATTCAGCAGGCAAGTGTTGATGACTGCTTCTTGGTTATGGCATGCTTCACTGATCGCACGCTTAGGCATTTGCTGGAACCAAGCGTACCGAAACTCCGAGACAAAAGAAAGAAGCTAGATTGCAAGGTACGTGTCTGGTCACCGACAATACGACAGGCTTTTGAGTCTGTCTCTATAGACATCCTCGAATTGATGGGTGGCATCCGCCAGCAGCCTGGACATCAAGTTTGACGGGTTCAAGTTATTTCACCATTGTTGATATTCCGCCCCTCAAACGTTATCACGAATACTTATCACCTATTAGATGGAAGGTATATATAAATAGAAGAAAGGTACTATCGAGAGATCAATTTCTCATACATTACGCAACCTTCGTAGTTGCTTCTTTAAGGCGCCATTCATGCATGCATGGTTAATTCGCTAGCAGTTGCAATAAACCGAACAATCAATGTGGTTTTTTATGTATTCATGGAGAGTGATGAACTTCTGTAAAAAAACAGTGTTGTATACTAGTGTACAATAGTAGGAAACGGATTGCTACATTCCCCAAACTCAGGACTAGTTGGAGAAGCTAACTCAATCTCTTGAGTAAGCCGATGCTGACCTTGTACAGCCTCGAGGTCATAAGTGCTAACCGCAGAATACAGTGTTGTCGGACCCTCTCTGACACCGAAAGAGTCTTTAAGTGGGAATGAGTCTAATAGACGCAAGCCCTCAGAATCAGACACTGCTGAATTAAGGTCCAGCACCATCCGACATCCAAGGATGATTTCAATGACAGCCGCGAACCCCTCTGGAGCTTCGAACCAGCTATACTGTTGTTGTTGGAGTCATAAGTCAAGAGGAACATCAATTTGAAGCAGAATCAGGCCTACCCCTAACCCTTGCCAGATTCCCGTATTTACAACGTTGGCAACGAGTATGCTATCGGGCGAGGTCACGACAATGGATTGCAGGCATAAGACTTCACCCACCAGAAATAGTAATGGACGTTGCCATACACGAGAGCATCAACAAGGTCTTTTCGCTCCATGCGGAAGATGTTGAAGCCAAATCTACCGCGTTTGAAACCGATCCTGCAAGCAAGCACGAACAGAAATGTTCCAAAAACAATATCGGGCAACCACACGTAAGCAAGGATAGGCGGTGCGTGCGTGACAGCACACATTCCGATACCTGGCAATGGCGTATTTGTATCTAGAAAGTAATGTCAAATTCGGAGCAATTGTGCGGATAAGTGGATACTCGCTGGTATTTTCTGCCATGCCTATTCCTAAAACGATAGACATGGTTATGACCTCTATCGTAAATCCGACAGCCATCGCAATTAAGACTGCTAGAGATCGACGGTATAGAGCGTACACTCGGAGCTGCAGTATGACTGAGCGAAGGTCAGCGGTGTCATCTGAAGAAATAAAACATGTCTCACGCTGAACTGCCCAAAGAACGCAAAAACTGGGCCACCCTTGAATGTTTAAGAACAATGAACCTAAATAGGCTTATCAGACTTGGCATCATAGCTGAGAATTCCCGCTCACAGCTAATAATTTTGTTTCAGTATTAAAGTAGGGTGAACGGCTAATGCAATAATGATCACAATATACAACTTACAACTAGAAGGTGTTCAGCTCTCAGAAATGAAGTAATAAGAAGCATACCTTTTTAGAAGTGTGTTCGCTCAAAAATGCTGATAAGGACACCAATCAGCGATGATTCGAGGCCAAGACAAACGACGACTACCTGAAGCAGTGACACTGCACAGAAAGTCAGCGACTGTATTGTTCGTTTTTAGCGAGTAAGGGCTCACAATATGAGTGCGCCGCCACCGAATCTCACCTAAATGACATTCAAAGGCGTTCTACAGGCATGAGAGCAATCTTACGATGATATATAATATGTTGGACGATCTCATTGGGCGTCTCTATGATAATAGACTTCAGCAAGCCAGATCCTGCACAAGTATGATGAGGACAGACCCATATGAACTCAACCTAATGAGTAATGAGACGGTCGAATCCACAGGATAAGGAAAATCACTGTACCTCTCGATCGAGCGTGAGCACTAACCAAAAGTTAGCGCAGACTGGTCTTGATAAGCACGCTAAGACGTACAGTAATCATAACAGAAAATGATACAAGGACATACTATAATATATCAAAAAGTAAGTCAGAATGTCGACTAAAGCACGTTCGATACTCACGCTGGCATATACGAGTAACCCAGACAGTGTAAGCGACATTCGCATAAACTTGCTCTTCGTTATATGCGGGGACCTCCATGAGGTCAAGGACCCAAGTCTGCTAACTAGTGAAGACTTTGGTAGTCCTGGGGAAAGGTCAGAAACGAGCTCGATTGGACACATGAACGCCAGGTCAACTTTTATCAGGTCACATCATGTTTCTCGAAGTCAGTAATTAATAGAAAGCAAAGGCAGCTCCTGCGTCAAAATGGAAATTTCACACGAGTAAGACGTAATCCATCATTAGGGTCAACGGCCACCCTTGCTTGTTCTTCGCGACCGTATGCATGCCAGCGAATCTCTCAGCTGTCTCAGGTCAAAATTTCATAATGGACCAAGGCCTTAGAACATTTTTCCGACCTGATATCTGAATCAGTCTTCCAAGAACATATCCCCGAGAGTACTGGCTGAGTGCATGCAACTTGACTCAACCGAACCCGGTCAGAGATAGAACACCGAATGCCCATATGGCATAGCCTGCAACAAGCGCCAAGATCAGACTTAAAGGCAATCACCCAGCCTGCACCGTCACGAGGTTGTATATATACGTACAACAAGAGAACATGATGTTGAGTGGAGCAAAGTCCTGCTACGACGCTCCAACATTAGATGGGTATTCCTCGCGCTGGACTTGAACCTTCAACCCTTGTCATCATATCTTGCGGCGCCAGGATACGATAAACACCTTGTTCAGAAAGTAGACATAATAGTATGGCATGACCATAGGATGTCATAACATGAATCCACGATCCACTCGGAGATGAGACGCATCGGCAGAACGGTTCGGTTGGAATCCCCGCAATGATCATAATCCCCGACATGACACGGGGTGTTGGAACTGTACAGTTCTCGGCCTTTGCCGGAGGGCTGGTGAACCTTATTCTTCTATAGTGGCACAACAGGAGCAAACAGCCGCTCATCGTCGCAAAAGGTCCAAGGCCACCTTACATCAAGATCCCTCAAGCACCTCAAAATGGCCACTACCCTTCCCAAGGACGTCTCAAAAATCGGTCAGGAAATTAAATTGTTTGGAAAGTGGGACACCCAGGAGTATGTTTGGATTTATCGGTGCATAATCTTTATATTGACGTGATTTCGGTCCAGTGTCGAAGTAAAGGACATTTCCCTCACGGACTACATCCAAGTCCGCCATGCTGTCTACTTGCCCCACACTGCTGGCCGTTATGCCAAGAAGCAGTTCAAGAAGGCACAAATGCCCATCGTCGAGCGATTGGTTGACAGGTGCGCCAAATAGATCCTTCCACGAAAATGTGAACGCTGAAAGTATGGCTATAGTTTGATGATGAAGGGCCGCAACAACGGCAAGAAGCTTATGGCTGTCCGCATTGTTGCACATGCATTCGAGATCATCCACCTCCTCACCGACCAGAACCCCATACAGGTCTGTCGGCCGAAAGTTGTTGTTGCACGACTCAAGGTGTTAATCAATACATAGGTTCTCGTTGACGCCATTGTCAACACCGGCCCTCGGGAAGACTCCACCCGTATTGGTTCTCAGGGTACTGTCCGCCGTCAAGCCGTTGATGTCTCACCCCTGCGGAGAGTCAACCAGGCCATCTCCCTCCTAACTATCGGCGTAAGCATACCACGACCTTTATAATTATCCTCACTCAATTTCCTCGGTATCAGACGCGGGAGTCTGCCTTCCGCAACGTAAAATCCATTGCCGAGTGTCTCGCTGATGAACTCATCAACGCTGCCAAGGGTTCCTCCAACTCGTACGCCATTAAGGTAAATTAAATGTCTTTGACAATTGATCACGACCTCATTACCGCCCATTAACAGAAAAAGGATGAGCTCGAGCGTGTTGCCAAGTCTAACCGGTGAAAACTGCTGCTCGCGTACTTGGGTCTGGGAGGACTCGTGCAATCCGAGTGCGACTGCTGTGGGCTTTCTGGATATTCACTTTTTCCGCTTCATTATCAACGCTGCGCTCATGCTGCACTCATGCTTCTGTATGTGTATGTTAACCTCGATGACATTATGCATGCACATGATTCCGCATCCCTGATGAGTCAACCATATGTCACATAGAATGGTGGCTGTTATGTTATAGGAACGTTCCCACAGCAACAGCGTTTGAACACTGCCTAATTCCATTTGAACCCGTCACAACTGGTATCTCACATGGATCGGACCTTGGGCCTGATCACGGAACTATTCTGTGCGCGCTCCAACCAAAATCCAGGAAATTGAATTAGGTGTACAAAAACAAAGTAATTCTCAACCCCAGGATCCAATGAGATATACACCCCATGCAATCTGATGGGGCGCGGGGTCCAGACCGTCTCAGCCTCGAGTGTCCTCCTGTCCTTGACAGCACTCGTATAATAAGTAGAAGTACATATGTACGTTTTATCTCCTTCAACAAACAGGAAAACAGAACCGCGTTGAGAGGACGAGAGCCGTATAGATCGGGATAAATACAAGGAATGAGAGGCCAGGTGCTAGATGCGGTAGGATGATGGCGGTGACGATGCAATTAGCACATCCTCTCATGCCGATGAACAAGAGTCGACAGACCAGCGAGGCAGTGACGGTACGGAAATGAACGGATCTCGGCAGGCCACTGGGCCAGGATATCCATGACAAGTGATATGAGTAATAATACAAGTTTGATCTAAGTTGGGAGCGCTAAATGCACTGGGCTGCAGCAGGATGCTACGAGAGGTTGGATGAGGTCGCTAGAGCGTAGGCAACGTCAGTTCGAGGAAAGCTGGCGTGATAGGGCGAGAGATCCGGAAGGCTTGAAAACCTTCTCCGCAATGAAATTCGAGAGAATCAATCCAAAATTTTCCGTGGATTGCAAGTAAAATCATGACTCCAGATGATAATGCCGACAAAAAATGAGAATCGCGTGGAATGGTATGGCCTCTTATGGCCTGCTACCGGTGCACGGACGCATGTCGGGATGAGTCGCCTGTTATCGGTCCAGGAGCGGGTTTGGGAACGACACCGGCAAGTCCGAGATAGCCAATGTCCCGGCCGAATTCCTTGATCATGGCTTTACCCATCAGGCAAACCCAGCCGAGGCCCTCTCCAGTTACACACTGGCCAGGCCAGAACAGTTCCCCTTCCTCATCCTCGATATCAGGTTCGTGTTCTTCGTGCGCAGTCAGACTCGAACTCATCATCCGGGCAAATGTCGTGGGATAATGCCGTGCCAGTATGGGCAGGGTCAGAGTGCGTTGAGCAAACTCCATACAGTACCCTGCGGCCATGACGCCACCGGATAGCTCCTTGACGTTAAACGCGAGCGCGGGATTAATGGTCGCTGTTGCCTTGGAGGCTGCTTCGACCATGTTGTAGCTCGCGCTTTGTCCTTTGGCTGTCTGAGGCAAAAGACCATGCATATACTGTGGGAGTGCGGTAGAAATCGGAGGTGCTGAGCGCGAGGGAAGAGGCGAATTGACCAGATTGATACCGCTGGATGTGTTCACACTCGGAGTGCCGCTTGCACTGTTGTTTATGGGCGTAGAATTTGCACTATTGATAGGAGCTATGCTTGCGGGGGAAGGAAGCATTGGTGGTGTGGGTTGTCCATCCGCTTTCTCCGCATTACTGCTGAGGATCATCATCTCAGCCTTCATTTTGGCCCATATGCGTTCCATGTCAGGTTCTATGACCGTCTTTGCTGAAAAAAAGAACTTTCGCCCGTGGATGAATCCTTCAATCATCCAGCTGTGTGCGTTAAATGCGTAAGCAGAACAGAAAACCATAGTAAGGGGGTGCTTACATCAAGCCCAAGAGGGCTTTTTCACGATCGCCAATTGTATCGAGCTCAGCGATCCATTTGTTTTTACACCACCCAAGGAATGCCTCGATGGTAGCCCAAGTCTCACGGAAGCACGATTTCCTGCTGAAATCCTTGCTCCACAATGAGTAGGTGAAGCATACAAGTGCGTCTACGAGCTCGAGCCGGGCTATGAGCCCTCCATGCTTATGATAAGGAGAATTTGGAGGCGGGGGGTTAGCCAGTGGACGGTACTCCTTGTGCGTAGCAGGATATGTCGACCAGAAGCGAGCATCGCCTGAATACTTGAGCATTCTACCATACTTGTGATATATATCGTGCATTTCATCGAAGGAGGTGAGTGCTGGACGTCCGCGCCGCGGACGCCGCACAGGCACAGTGGTTGATAGAACCGCAGGCGCCGGACCCCGGGGCGTCACGGCAGTGGTATCTTCTCGTACTTCTCCATCCTCAGATGGCTCTGAACGCAAGTTGAATGAGGGAACTGCATTCGAGGACCTGAGCGGTTGCGAAGGAGGAGCAGGAGGTGGGTGGTAGTGATGATGGTGATGTGATGAGGGCTTCTCTGGCAGCCCGTTAGTTCTGGAACGTTTGACGACGTCATGTTCTTGTGAGGATTCGTGCTTTCTCTTGATAGCCGGTGCGGTAGGGGAGTTTGACCGGGATGCTGGGGGTGAGGGAGGAAGGTCTGGCGGCAGCGGTGCTGCAAGAGGACCCAAGATCTACGATGGTACGAAGAAAGAGTTTAATTATCTCGAATAAATTAGTGAATTGAGAAGTTGAATGACCTCAAGATTCTTCAAGAGTTGCTCTCTCGACCATCTGCTGGAGAGATAGGATGACGAAGGGTGAGAACTGAGGAGCATGAGGCAAAGAAGTTGAATTACCGTTTCTTCATCTTTTGGAGGGAAGTAGAGGACGAAGACGATGAGGAAGACGATTGGGAGAGCATTGGGAGTGATGGTGTTAGTGGGAAGAGAGAAAGCAGTGGCCAGCGCAACAATGGCTGGTAAGTTTGGGTGACCCGCTAAGACGGAAGCAGAATTTGGTAATGCCTTGCCAGGTCACAGCGCTTATAGCTTTCATTCTTCATTCGAAATCCAAACCAACCTGGCCTTTTTTTTTGATTTTTTTTTTGATTCATTCTTCGTTACTGTTTTGTAGTTGTAAATGGAGGTTTACTAGTACTTTTCTACTCAGTATTCAGTGGACGTGTTGAACGGTTGTCGTCCGTGGTGCTCATTGGCATGGGGCCTGGCATGCATAGCCTCCGTTGGATTGTCTAATATGCCACTCGGTCCCATCAACCATGTGCCTACACCACCATTCGGGATGGACATTGACCGACTCTCCCGAGGACAGCGTAGGGCGTATCCAAC